ACATGTATGAACATATGTAGTTCATCAAAAACAAATTCATTTCAGTGTATATTTTAGCATTCTTTTATAGCTTTAAAGACAATGACATGTTAAAAAAGATTAGGTAATCTTCCAAATATTTTCGAAGGACATGGTACATTTTATTCTATATTCTGACTAGACCTAGTACAGGGCAAACTTCTAATAATGCTCCAATCCTTTTCTGGATCTAATAATACACTGATCCTTAATTAAATGATGGACTCCATGACCATGAACTTGCTTTGGATTTCTACTAAGGCCACCGTTGTGAATTTCATACAAGTTTCGCATATTTGGCGTAGATAGTTATTCAGAAATTAGCAAATGGTTGAACTCCAGAGGGTGCTAAGCCTCAGCAATTTTTCCCACTTCGCACAAAGAAGACTGCAGCAATTCTGTCTGTCGTCCCACAGCAAAATGCTGCTACTGGATATGGGACCTCTAGAGCGACAGTGCCCTGAGGCTAAGTTTAGTCTTCCATCTGACGATATACTGGGGCCCCCAGAACATCTGGATAAGGTGGAAACAGGTGAATGGATGTGTTCTGTTATATGAAACTTTGCAATTGTGCTTTTTCCCCAAGTATTCAAAGCCTAATTCTGGAGATTACTATTTCCCCAGTATTTTTCATGGGAACTCACATGTATCATTTAAATCCTGAAGCTTTCTTGTTTTTCTTCATTGTTCCTTTTTTTGTTATTGTTTTATTCTGTTCTGGGTACAGGTTGGCTTGGTTGTTGATGGGAGACAGAGTGCTTTAATGCTGTGACCAGGTTTTATAGATTGTTTTTAAAGGATTTAGATGAGCTTCAAATTTTTGAACTGCAAAGTATTTCTAACCCACTTCAATTATGAAGTCTGGATTTGTCATCAAGCGAGATGAACTGTGATAATAGTATATTTTGCTTAGGGGTTGGGAGTCCTTAGGAAATGCTATGTCACTGTTCATGGTCTGTGGAGATGAAGTAAGTCCTCACTCACACTGGCTTTTCTCCCTGACTTGCTTACATTAAATATTAAAATATAAAATTAAATATAAAAATATTAAATATAAAAATACAGTAGTCAAAGTGCTGCTCTGAGGGAGTCTGCATTTAGTTCTTGTGGAAAGATTCCTTTCTGAATACACTCTCTTATGGTTATAGCACTCATATTGTTTGCTGAAATCCGAGCTTCCCCAAGAAATTAGAGCAGTTAATTTAATATTGTGAAATGTTTTGGGGCTTCTTGGCTTATTCAGAGACAGGGGAGTGTAAATCAAATTGGAGATTCTGTATAAAATAGAGGATAATAAAACTTGCCTCCAAAAAAAAAGAGCCAGCTTTTGTTCTTGGGTTCCATTCCAGGGCCCCTGAAATCTCTTTTGACTCCATGACTCCTTCTGGGGTCTCCATTCTCTGTTTCGGAAAGACGGAGAACCTGGCAGGACTGGGCCCACTGAGGGCATAGAGGGGATCTTCAGTTACTGTTCATTCTTGGGCAAAGGGCCATGGGGCTCCAGCTAGGGTGGTGTGGCTCATGGCTTAGCAATTTCTTCTGTAGTTTGGTCCCAGCCTTGAAACACTTTCATTAAGAGTGCCATTCTATACATGTTAGTGACCATCTGTGAATTACCTGGCTCCAAGCTGGGCACTGGGGTAAGTTATCTGGGGAAGGAGAAGGACTCTACAGCAGTGATAAATGCACTTCTATCACCAAAGAAAAACAGAAGGAGAGCTATTGGCATGTGTGGACTGCTGAGTTCTTGCTGCTCACATTTCCAGAGTTGTTTTTCGCCCATGCCCCCAGAGTGATGGTGAGCTTGGTGCAGTGTATGCTATGGGCTTTTTCATTTGTTTTTGAAAAAGGCCTTTGAGTGGATCTTTTCAAAGGCACAATGTGGACCTTGGAACTGAGAGCTTAGACTACACATCAGTGGCCTCTGGTCAAATCGGCCACCAGAAGCAAACCGCTAAGTCAGATGCTTCAGCCTCTGCTCCAGAAGGTTCTCTGCGTGCTCCAGGACCCCCTCAGAAGTGCGTTGGGCTTGTGTTTATTTTGCCTCTCCTTTCCTGTGCTGTAAGATGAACTTTTATGTCTCTGAGCTGTCTTTTTGGAAAGAGAAGAAACCCGAGTATTTCTTACTTTGTTTTAAGGACCTGGTGTATTTGTATAAGATATCAGGAATGACTGAACTAGTCGTTGTGCTTTGTATGAGTACTCTGATCCCCAGTGCTATGGACATGTAACATCTGGGGAGTGGAGTACTTCCGTGGTTTTCATTGCCTGACAAAATCCCCAGACGCACACCCTGCAGATTTCCACAAGGAATGAGTATCAAGGCTAGGGCCCAATTCCTGTTTGGTTTATCTATGGTTAGAATGAAAGAAGACAATCTCAGATATAATAAATATCTCCTAGGAAAGCATACTTTGGCGTAAATATTTTAAATTTTGATACATTTCATATGTGCTAAAATAAGCTATAAAATACACCCGCAGAGGTGCTTACATTATGGCTCAGTTTTCCCCATTACAAATAAACAACTAGGTGTCAACGTGTGCCACCCACTGAAAATATTTAAACATCACGTAATAGGTAATGTAGACATCTCTGCTTTCAGCCTTAAAGAGATCGGGTCCTCCCAAAGGCCCCTCGTCCACACCATCTTACTGTCCTGGGCTGTTAGGACACTAAGTAGTGGATTTTTCAAATCTATTGCTCTTTGCCTCCCCCTGCCCATTTACTCTTTTTCTACCTTTTTGTATTTTCTCTTCTTCTCTTTTAGCTTGTAGGTTCCACATTTTCACACAAAATTCTGTATGGTTAGTTTTCTGTTTAGTTTCTGGTGCTCTCGAAAAGAAAAAGAAGGGGAAATGCTTCTCAAGTCCTCAAATAGACCACAATAAATAACAGCAAAGACTTCTCTGAAATGTGCACAAAAGCAGGTGCGCTACAAAGTACCATCTCTCCACCCCCTGACTTCCCAATGTGATGACTTAGATACTTTTCTACTTAGGCAAATAGTGCCAGTTTTTGCTGAATTCAGCAGTTCATTGAACAGTTCCTTCGAGCCAGCCAAAAGCCAACTCCATTGCGTTTCTGCTTGGTAAGGTTTGGTGGCCTTGGCGTGGGGTTGGGGTTGTTGATTCATTGGCCCTTTTAGACTGTCTTAATAGAATCTCCGCAGAGAATCAGCGATCCCTGGGCCACCAGAAACCCACCAGAAGGCCGCAGCAAATCTTTACTGAGAATGGCTCCAGAGAATTAGGGGCAAGGAGGTCTCGGTGAGAACCTGTGTGTGGGTATCAGTGAGAAGAACTTGGATACTAGGTATAGAACTCGGCGGCCTAAAATCCTGCTCCTGCCTCTTAGATACACGTGTCTCTATTTGTTCATTTTGAACATCTCCTTTTTGTATCGTGACTTCTGTTAGCATGATGCAGTTGCCCACAGTGTCGTGACCGAACTCGTAATAACGCCAAACATCATAACTGTAGCTGCTTTGTTTGTGTGCGTTTATACAATCCTACATCTACTGACTTTTTCAATGAAAATATTTCAGTTTCACTTCTGGCTTCTTCTGGTAAGAAAATAAAACCTTCCATGCTGGTTACCAACTGTACCTTTTTTTTTTGGTACTGGGGAATCAAACTCAGGACCAACTGTAACTTTGAAATATCTTTTGTGGAGACTTGTCTTGGCATGGATTAATACAAGCTACAAATGCAAATTCCAGCTGCAGGAAGCCTTTCCACCTGAGAGAGATTCAATTTTTCTGAGAAAAAGAAAAACAAATGAGTTGCTGTAAAGGAGTTTGTTTTTCTTTTTACCAGTCCTACATTTTTTGGCCTCCCCCACCCAAAAGCTATGGTGTACTCCACAATAGGTATTGTGGTGTTAATAATAATTCTCTGTATACCATCCTTTTGTTGTTTTTTGTAAGATTTCAACGTTATATATGATATATAACATTTAGGTTGGGTATGACCATGGTAAATATCCTGACTTTTTTCATCATATATATGTATTGATTCCGAGAAAATTGTGCCTCTTCGCTGCCCCTTAATTAAAATACCTCAGACCCTAACTAGAATGTGTATTAGTCAAGACTTCTTTTAAAAAGACATTATTTTCATGTGCATAGGCTGGAATAAATAAATTTTTAAAAAGGAATATGGAAGTAGGTGCGTTTAATTCTCCCCAGTTTAAATGTAAGTGGTACATCTTTAAGACAATAATGGTATTCCTTTCTCCCATCATGAACGCTTCTATCAATGAATTTCTTTAATGTTGATGATGCTTGGTGCAGTTTGAGGGAATCTGTATTTAGTCAGAAAATGCTTCAATAGAAATGACCTACCAGATGGGCCCCATAACAATGCACGGAGACATCAAACCACCACAGACATTTGGTGCTTAGAATAATAAAAAGACTATAAAATTAGATTAGTTGAGTCTAATTTGGAATTGGTATATTCCCTATGCACCCTCGCCACTCTTGGGCAGATAAAGCCTTGAGATTTAGCGCTGTGTCAGAGCAGAAAGACTGCAACTTCCAGTAAAAGGGAGACGAGGAAGAGGGGAAAAAGCATTCTGGGAGGTCGCGGAGGGCAGAGCAGTGACCTCCAATGATTTACAGGCCTTTAGCTTAATGAAATTGTTTCAGTGACATGACGGTAAGAGCTCGTAATGGATTGGATGCCCTAATGTAATGAAATTACTCCCTTCTGCCTAAAAAAAAAATGCGCAATTAATATTTACTGAGACCTGACAGCCTTTGGTGCGTTCGTCTGTGTAGTTCTCTCAGACAGTCAGAGAGGAGAGACGGAGCAGCGTGGCAGACAGGCTGGCTCTGCACGAGCTCCTGGCAGGGATGAGCAGAGCCCACAAGAGGGTGGAGGGACAGGCGCTCGGTGGCCAGGGACGCTCGGCCCGGGCTGCCCAACCCCTCGGCACTGCCCCCGCTCAGCCTTCACGCTCTCCCTTGCTTTTCACAGGCAACTGGACAACAACCACATCAGCTGCATTGAAGATGGAGCCTTCCGAGCGCTGCGCGATCTGGAGATCCTGTGAGTTGATTTTGCGATCGCTGCCTTGTGTGTGCGTGCGTGTATGTGGAGTGTGCCTGTGTAGGGAGGAGAGAGGGGGGATGTGTGTGCGGGGGGCTCTGTGTGGGTGCGTTTCTGGGTCTTCTGCTGCAGTGCTATTAAAATTGGGAACCGGGAGAACCCTCTGGCTCACCTTGGCCAAAGTGTTTTCAGGCAGCAAAGTGTGATTTCTCACCTCCCACAAACTGGGGTTCCTGCTAATTAAGTCTCAATTGAGTCATTTCTCTCCTGATGCTCTGGCAGTATTCATCGCTGGGTGAGACAGATGGGCTACTGGGCTAGAGTAGCCCCCCAGCATCTGCCAGGCATCGGGGAGAGTCCTGGTGAGCGTGGGCATAGGATGAGATGGGTCACAGGTCTGGGGCCAGTGAGAGAGGGTAGTACCAGAGGGTCAGTTGGAATTAGCTAAAATCTGAAAGGGGTCTCAGCACAAGACGGGGAGGGGGTGCCAAACAGCAGCCTGGTGAAGTCCAGCCATTGCCATAGATCTTGGAATCTCATCTCAGGTTCAAATTCAAACTTTAAACAGTAACCTTAAAGCCGCAGGGGTAGCAAGAGGCGAGGAGGTGCCCCTCCCATTATCGCATCGCACATGTGGCTGTCTTTCTGTGTCCCCCATCTTCAAATGTAACTAAGGAAACCTGAATTCTGGGCGGGGGAAGTCAGTGAGGAGTCATCTTGGGGTCATTCAAACTAAAGTTGGATTGTGTAAGAAAACCTTTCGATTGTTCTCACCCACAGCTGCACTTCTAGCTGTCCCTGGTTTGTGAAAGCCTGGAGGGGAAGTGGTAAAGCATAGTAGAACTTGTGTTAAAAGATGTGTGCTTTGGTCCCAGTTCTGCCGCTGATTAGCCCTGTGACCTTGGGCAAGTCTCTTTGGCTCCCAGAACCTCAGTTTTCTCATTTGTAAAACAACAGGGTTGGCTCCTCTATCGTGAGAGACTTCCCCTTTTCAAATTCTCCAATAATAGTTATGACAGTACAATTACAGCCAGTGAGTGATCAGACAGGAGGGTTTGTTGAGCGTCCTCTGAAACTAAAAAATTACAGTCACAGGTTTCTCAGGGTCTGAGTCCAACAGAGTGAATGAATGAATGCCAAATAAATACCCGAATGAATATATCAAAAGGTTCTCCCTTCACCTTCCTTTTCACCTGGCCCTGGAGACATGAGCAAAGGTTAGAAAGAACCCTCCACCTTGTCCAAAAGGAAGGTTATTCCAAGAGGAATCAAGGGGAAATAAAACGGGATGCTGATGCTGCAGGCTACCTGAAATCAGAGGAAAGCTGAGAATTCCCGGTAAAGAAGAGGCAGAACCCACAGCCAAGGGAGATCCAGGTTGTCATTCCTAAGATGGACGGTCTCCCCTCACCCAAACTCTGACCCTGGACCCAGCAACAAACTCATGTGTGCGCGGGAGAGGGCGCCAGCCCCAAATTACTAACCTTGGGCTTCTCTTAGTGGGAACCTGAGGCTGAGAAAGGTAGGCATGATTTTTCCTGCCTATGAAAATAGACTGTTTAGAAAGGATTGCTAGGAACCTATCACCTTTTCCTCCCTTGCCAGGGAGAATGAGAAAGATGACAAAATTCCTTAGGAAGACACCAGTAAATAGAAGTCACCAGCTGCCATGAAACCACAGTGATAGCCTGTCAGCCTTCAGGTTTGTTGCCTGTGCTGAGTGGTGGTTTCTCCCCTCGCCTTGCTAGGAAAGCAGTCTGGGGTGGAGAGAGGGCCCTTACTGTTAGACTCGCCTGGGTGGGGAATCTCACAGGCCTGGGATTGGCCTGGGTCTAGCTTCTTAACCTCTCCGAATCTTCCCGAACTTTGAGAAGAAACAACTTAGGTACTACATAAGAGGGACTGTAAATTGCTGTTCTTTCCTCCGCACTAACTTTTTCTTACCGTCTGTCCTCATGCCCATCAAGCCCTGTTCGGGACAGAATGGGGCCACTCCTCTCAGCTCAGATGTTTGATAGAAAAAAAGCACTCATATCCAGATACACCATGTGTCTCCAAGTCAAGGCTCAGAAACCTATCCTCAAAATAACAATATAATAATAATAACAACAACAATAAAGGTTCATTCCCCCAATCATTCCACAGGATCTGATTAGTTTATCTTCTCAATTCCAAACAAAGCCAGATCAATAGCTTTGTTTAAAAGATGTTCTCATTTGGCTTCACGTGGCTAAGTACTTAAAATTAATCATCATCATTTATTCCATGGGTTTTTAATCTCCAGCAGAGGCACGCAGCTTTGAAACTATCCATCTTAATGGTGAGCCATTCTGAAATTGGCTGAAGCTGACATCTCCATTTAAAGAGCCCCCCACCCACACAACCTTCCAAATCTACACATTGACTATTTATAACACTTCTCTCTACTCACAATTTAGTAATCATAAACAATCTTGGCAATGACATAAATAGGAAATAAGTGAGGACATCACACGTTAACATATTTCTCAGAAGTGCACAGGGAGGATATTTAAAACACCCTATCCCTAGAAAGGTGGTTCATAAGTATCTAAAATGTAAAATTTGCAAATTGAGACAAACTCCAGTAGTTCAGGTGTGTTTGCTCTCTGGTATTAGGCAGAATAAAGTAACAAACAAGGACTGGCTCGTGATTTTTCTCAGGGAACGTTCTCAAAATTAACAAGGAAAGTTTGTGAATGTTCACTCCTAGTGGAAATATTCTTCCGATGGCTGGAAATACCATAAAACTTCTTTCGATCAAGTCTGAGGTTAGTTTTACTGGTGACATTAAACAAGAACTTAGAGGGTGAGTCTGGGAAGAACCATTGTCAGTGAGGAAGAGCAATGAAGAGTGCCAGGTAGGAAAAGTCTGACCTCTGCCCACCTCGGCCATGTCTGGTAGGCAGATGTTCAGCACAGGCTGTAATGGATGAGGATAGGAGCTTCCACCACCCACCCCTTTCCTGGCAGCCAGCAAAGGAAATAAGAAAGAGCGCATGGTATGAGTAAAACTTCCGTGCCATCCCAGGGAAGGAAGAATCATAAAAATGATAACGGCTAATGGTGACGTTCCTATACCATAAGTACTGCTTTTAACATGCTTTATCTCTTTGCCTCCCCACAACCTTTCCACAGAGTCGCCATTACCTTTTCCCTCCTTTTACAGGCGTAACCCATTGCAGAGAAGCCAAGTAACTACTTAACTAATAAACAGCACAGCTCATATGATTGACCCTTGTACCAAGCCACCTCTTTGATCTGTGTTGCCAAAGCTGTCATGGTGTCTGGCTCCCCTTGAAGCATAGCCAGAGTGCCCTGCACATTGGTGTAAATTGGCCTTTGAGAATTGGCCAGGGCAAGCTATCAGTGCCTCATAGTGCAGCCTTCCACAGCTTCCAAAATTTTCCTCGTCTTTGTCTTTACGCAGCTAACGGGTCCTCACAAAGTGGAAGGTAAAAATCTACTTGCAGGAGACAGAAAACAGAAAATAATCCTGCTTTTCACTGGCTCACCTTGTAGATTTCAGGGATGATTTCATCTCTCCTCTGGACAATTAACTTTGGCACTTGGTTTTTAGGGACTCTGTTTTCCAGACACCCCCACCAAAAATCCAACCTTGAGGTTTGGGCACTGGGGTTCTTAACTGAAGGGGCCCAGCCTTCTGTGAGGCAGACCTCTGTCTGCTACTCAAATTATTGCCCTTTCGCTTCCCCCTGTTCTGTACATTTGGCGATTCACAGACGAGGCTTTCTCCAAGTAAGTTGTGCTTACACTATAGTTGCACGTGCCAAGCCTGTGTTCCCAGCTTTGTGTGACAGGGAAACAATGCCACGGAACTGTGAGTTCCAGCCCCTGCCAGCTAAGCTGAGCTCATGGCCAGGTGTTTCACCAGTCATACTAGGGTCCCCCTACCCAGCTACAAAAGGGGAAAAATTAGCAGCAACCAATGAAATAAAAATGAGAAAACCTAGTTAATAAAATCTGTGATTAAATTTTTTCGATACCACTGCAGGAGAGAAGATAGTTTCAGACCTTGTCTCCAGACTAAGGGTAGCAAGCCAGAAGTACAATAGATGCACTATTTTAACTGCCTGACCACAGATGGCAGAAACACATCCTGAAAATGCTTTTCTGGCAGAGAGGTCCGCCTCTGACAGATCACTGGTCCCAGCTAAATTGTGCGAAAATCCAACAGGACTGTAGATAACTGGTACGTGCCGTTTCGAAGGCCTCCCTTCCATTTGTGATACCACGTTACCTGACACGGGGCCCCAGAGGTAGACACGGGAGCGGGAATGGAGAATGGAGATAGAAATGGATAGAAATGGACTAAAAGTACACTGGCCACAGTCCCGATGCCCAGACCAGGGTGCCCTCGCGCTCCTAGCAAGGGGTTGGTGTCCTGGCTGAGGGGTGACAGACAGTCGTGTGAGGACATTCAGTGACACTGTCTGTCCAGTTCAGAAACACCAAAGTTGAATGCAAGGGAATGAAGTTTGATGCAAACAGCGTTCTGTCTTCTGTTTTGACTGTGTTTCCTCTGAGTGTGGGACTAGGTGCTGTGATTAACAAAAGTAATGATGCAAAGATAATATGTCACAATCTGATGATGTCACCACTAGTGGTTATGAATGTTGTTACCACCTCCATGTGTGAGTCTCCCCTCCTGAGCACCCACTTCCATTTCTGAGCATCTTCTAGGCACTGTTATAAAATATTATAAGGCAATACCTTATTTAAATCCTCATTATAGCTTGAGAAGGTGGATTCTATTAATCTCATTTCACCAATGAGGAGACAGAGGCCCAGAGAAGTTGAACAATTTACCAGAATTGGTCAGGGCGAGTGTAAAACGCTTTTCTTTGAGTTCGCCAGCTCTGTCTGAAATCTGAAACCTTGCACCTAGCTATTCTGCTATAATAAAATCAAAAATAACAGGCACATACCAGAGCACACATACCACAGAAGTAAGCATGTGT